ATATATATATATATAATTACACACAGACGAGTGGATTTTGTATATGTAGTTTGACTAAATGCTTCTTTTCTGGCTGTTGCACTACATATTTAAAGGTCCCAATCACTGTTAACAGTCAACATGTAAAAAAATGTCCGTCTAAATTTGCTGGGTAATTCACATTCTGTCATCTGATTTTCTCTTTATTTATAGGTCCAGGAGTTCTCACTCGAGCATTGCTAGATGCTGGTTTTAATGTTGCTGCTTTGGAAAAGGATGAAGTTTTTCTTCCTGGGTTAAAGGTGAGGGAGACTCTTTGACTTGTACAGTTAAATCCATGTTACCACAGATTTGAAGGTCTTATATAGACTCCATCACCCCAGCATTTGCAGTAACTGACTTATTTCATTGCACTGTGAGCATGTAAATGATCCTGTTATAATTAGAGCAAGGGGATCATAAACTTTTTATTATTAGTCTCCCAATGGATTTCCCAGTATGTCCCCATATTCTTATCATCATCATCAACACCAGTCCTGTTGGGTATCAGCATGACTGCAAAAGAGGTTCATAATTTGATTTTACTGCGTGTAAGAAAAATTCGGAACAGAACAGCTGAAATTAAACTTTAAAGCGGACCTATACACTAAAAAATCTAATTTTACCAATGCATCCCTCTATGTATGATGAATAATAATAACATAGACATGTCAGGTGTAAAATGCTGTGATGGGGAAATACTTAACACTTGCAGAGCATTCACTTCCTGCTTTGTAAGGGCAAAGTGACTTCAGTTTGCCAAAGCAATGCACACTGGGATTGCCTTGTCATCAGCAGAGCATTGCTGGGAAATCGCATATGTAATCTCAGTAGATCTCAGGGAAAGGCATTTTCCTCCCCTGAGATGATGTGCATGGTCACATGTCCTAGTCGCATGTCTATTCACATGTCCCAGTCACATGTGCCAGAAATCCAGGCAGTAAAAGGAGAGCTAGTAATCTGCCCTTAGTAAACATGGCCACTGTCAGAAGACTGGGGAAGTAAAGAGAAATAAGGTGTGCAAATAATACAAAGCCTGCAATTATCTAGAAGTATGTGTTTGCATATTGTCCTTACTAAACATTTCTAAAGGTGTGTTTTGTTGTTCTAAAGATATGGGTAAAGGTCCACTTTAAGGATAATGTCATATTTATTTACATAAAAATACAAAATCACAAATAGGTAAGCTAGCTACAACTACAGGGATTTGTGTGCAGTCAAAACATGAGGTCCAGGTTCTGTTACTAACAATGTTACTCGCATTTCATCCGTCAGGTCGATCTCTCCACTTTGATTTCAGGTTTAATTATACACTTTTTAATTCAGAGATCCAGTCTCACACCACATCATTTGGTTCTCAGCAGTTAAGAATCCCTTCCACATTAGATGTGCATAACCTTCCAGAATTTATCAAACATTTTAACATAATTTTTTTAACCCCTTCGTGACTGACGACGTACAGTGTACGTCGCCAGCATCGGGGCTGTTTAAACAGACTCCTGGTGACTTTTGCCGCCGGGACTCTGTTTAAACTTGTAGAGCCGACTGTCGGCTTTACAACAGAAGCGATCCTGGCGACTTACCTGTCGCCAGCGCATAATATAACATGGGTGCAAAAAATTAAAAAAAGGCCTCAGTCATGAAGGGGTTAAAGTATAAAAAAATTAGTCTTTTAACACACATAAAGAACTTTATCTGGTGACCTCTACATTACTACTGTGTCCTGGGGACTAGGAATTCTGACAAGTCTACGGCTGGTGGTTTCTCTTCATTATAGCAGTGCAGGAGCAGTAAGAGTTGTTTAAACTGATTTTGGTCACTTTAAGTAGTATGTAATAATATTTTTCTGTACAGTGTTTATCGCATGGGAATACTTTCACTACCATTTAAGGTTTTTGAATCTTTATACCATTTCATTTTATTAATGATCTTTAAATATTCATCTAATGT